TCTAATTATAGCTGCCAGGATTTTTACCTCCTGCTAAGTATACTAATATTCTTTTCACTAATTGCAACTTTCCCCTTCCTCCTCTAAATTTTAAATTCTCAAACTGCTGCAGCATGTGTGTTCTTTATGGAAACATTTTTTAAACTCATTACTACAAGACTTTTCTCCATTGCAAATGCCAGGGCTCTGAGGAGTCCAGAGTTATTTCTTCAGACCCTGCCATTTTCCCACCTCCAAGCTTGTTTGAAAGAACACTGCCATACCCAACTTAATTTAAGGAAGCATCCATTGCAAGAAGACAGAATGTCTGTCATTAGACTGAGTGATGTAGGTGGAAAAAAGACAGATAGATTCCTCAGCTGAAAGGAGACATCCACCAAAAAAAAAAAAATCAGTTCAATGATGGACCAGCACGTATACATAGCAGAGTCCTCTACTGGCCTGCAAACCAAATGATAACCACAGCACATCTGATAAACTGCTGTGGCTGCTGTGGGGGCAGGGGGAAAGAGGCATGCTGTACTCAGAGAAATACGCTTGAAAAGCACCAACCTATATGACCTTGGAGCTGCACATGTGCATATGGCTATGGCTTCCACAGCTGTGAAACCCTAAAATTCAGTGCCACATGAGAATGGTAGGAAATCAGTGATTCTGTCCAATTTCAGCTGCAAGGAAATCCCTGCACAGCTACCACAGCACGGTCCCTCACAAGCTCACCGAGTGAAGAACCTCACACAGGAGCTGCTGAGAGTGGAAGAGATCACTCAACTTACATCCATGAGAGAATATATTAATGGTATTAATTTTACCATTTCTGAAGCTTGTTTGAGTGGTAGTGTTTGGTGGCTTTATTATTTATTTTGGTTTTGTCTTTTTTTTTTTTTAATCACAGGGAAAGGAAGCTACTCACAGTGGTTTGGGGATGCAAGACACAGAGCAACCTCTGGCTTCAGGTCGCAATCTGCCTCCCTAGCTGATAAAAAAGGCAGGCAAACCATCTGCCATGTGCTGCTGCTGCATAAGACATCAAAAGGACAGCGATAAATGTTCCACTTTTGATGAGATCTAGCCATTGCTTCTGGTTTGGACTTCTCTAGCTCAAGTTAAAAAAGCAGGCCCTGGAGGCAGAGGTGTGCATCCAGCAACTTTCCCGAATCTAAGAAACACTGTTTCTTTGAGTGTTTACTCCAGCTTCTTCTGAGGCATACCCCCAAGAGCTGTAAAAGACATCTGAAACAGGCATAAAAAGTCAAGGTTTAAAGCTTCATACTGATGCCATTTCAGTGCTATTTACATCTAGTAGTACCACCCCCACCCCTAGCCACCCCCAAAAAAACAACCCTCTATCATCTGTGTACCTCATCATCTATTCAAGCAAATTGTTACTCCTTCACAAAAATCAGAGAATTCATTAGTCTATTCCTCTCACCACCTACCATTTCTCACATCTAAAGCAATCAAGTTTCTAAAGCACAGTGAAAATTTGTTATTAGAATTTCATCACCACAGGCTTTTCCGTCCTTCCTCCC